CGCAGCCCGCGCATCCCCCGCGCCCCGCCGCGGAGCTGCGCGCCGCCGCCGCCCCGCCACGCACAGAGCCCACGGGGTCATTTCACCGCTTTATTTCACGTTAAAGTTTAGATACAATCGAAATCCTTGTACGCACCTTTTAATAAAAGTAGTAATCTCTTTGAGTACTGCAAAATTATAGCATTTACATCTTTAAAAGACCGTTAACAAAATAATACTAGCAAATAAATACTACTAGCATCGAAGTATACATCGTAAGGTATTTTTAGACGGCTGTATAAAATGCGATCTGGTTTATAGAATATAATACAGATAAATGCTATAAATAACGGGTTATAAGATTCTGCGGGAAACTTCCTAGCACTGGGTCTGCTCCGGGCTGCCAGCCCCGCCCGGGGGGCTAGTGAGGGCGGGCCGCAGCAGCGAGAAAGCTTATTTCTGGTTAAGAAAAATAAAAGTCCCATTTAAACTTTATTGAATTAAAGCAAAAATTAATTTTCGATATTCACACATATATTACAGAGTAATAGTAAAAGTTCAATATACTTCCTGGCGTTTAGTTGGGCCACGTTTTACAAGAGCAAAACAAGCATCAAAACATTTAGCAGCCTTAAATTTCACAATCACTCAGAATTACATAGAAATATTGAAATACTCTAGTCAGCCTTGGCTGTGAATAGTTCTTAGTGTATAAATTTTTCCTTTGCCAGCCAATATACAGCAAGAATTGCATTTTCCCTTTCATCATGGCATCCATGTATTCAAAAATACTTTGCTTTTTTTTTTTTTAAACTCAGAGAAAGAGTCAAGATTAACATGTTTTAAAAACAAAACTACAAAATATGCTGTAAACGACAATGAAAATATCTAAAATCTACTTGTGTGAGGCAGAAACCATGGCGGAAGGATGGCAGATTACACCAGTGACACAGAGATGGGAACTAATTTTGTGGGAGGAGAGAGAGGAATATAAATGGGGGTATGATCAATTATAGTGTTTCCCGCCTGTTGGCTGCAACACAACAAAAATAAGTAGTAATTCTTCAAAGCAGATGTACACAAACCTAAGCAGGATTTAGCTTCTTTAATATCTGAATGTAAAAAGTCTGCTGTCCACAGCTCTTTCACCCCAGCTACAATTCGGGAATTTGTAAGATACTCTCCGACTTGCTGCTCTCCCTCTGCTTGGATGAGAAGTTATTTAAAGCGGAAACACGAGAAATCCAGAGAACGTTGAATACTTCCAGCCTCCCATCAAGTTTCCTCTCTCCAGTTTTAGATAAGCTCTGTCTCCTTTCTCCATCTGAATCAGGACTCCATTGCTAGCAGCTTCTCGGGTCACATCTTGGTCCCCTGCAAAGGCAGAAATCACTGGCCACCCGTTTAGCATCAAACTCACCTAAAGAGCAAGATAAAACAAAGCTCTCTGTCAATTAAAGTCAGACAACGACACCGCCGGGGCTCACCTAGCAGGTGAAACGCTTAGTTAAGAAAGGGCCTCTTCTGACAGCTGAAACTCCAACCCCATAAAAATGAAATATCAATCCGAGCCCAGCTAAGGTATGTACTCTAAAGGAAGAAGGCTTTCACCGCTGTTTTAGACCGACAGCTACATCAAAACACCCGGTGCATATAAAACAGAGCATTGATCCTATTTTGAAGAATTTCAATGGGGTGCCTGTGTTTTCAGGCTATGAAAAGAGGTCTGCTCATACTTATTGAAAGATGGCTTTATGTGAAACCTCAGAGACAGACAGGAGCAGAGCCACAGCCGCCAGAGTCAGAGTGTTTGAAGTATATTCAAGAGGTAGTTTTCCTTTGTTAGGCAGCAAAGACAATATGTCACAACACAGTCAATAAGCTGTGCTCGGCTCGCGTTAATGATCCCAAAACTGCATATCCCACATTAACAACATAGTGCCTCCCCAGTCTAGATGCGTGAAGCCACTTGAACTAGTATGATGCTACATCTGTACGCTCACCTTTGCGATGGACAGGTCCGTGCTGACAGGTTTTCTATCTAGGTTAGGCTACTTGGCCGCAGGCCGATGGTTTATTATCCCTGCCTAGAGGGGCTCGTGCATCAAACCACATACAAAAGGTGCGCGCACGTACGGCTCACTGCGCACACACACGTCTGCATCCACAGCCAGACCCGAG